ATGTAAAGCTCTTAGGACGGTGTTTAACACATAGTAAATGTTTGCCATTGTTATCGCTGTCACAGGAGAAAGAACAGGAGTCCTGTGAGTGTAAAGAGGTAGCAGCCAGCAGAATATCCATGAGACCAAATTTGCATCATCCCCGTGGTTCCAGGTTTCAGAGAATGTGCATATGTTTCATTCTATTCTGTCATTACAGTCTATGTAGTTTTCATCCACAGTCTGAAACTGAGGAAGCTAAAACTCAGATCGTGCCTTACTGAATATGAATCCGTATCTATTAGTTCATAACCCCATGCTTTCATTATTTTCTGCTTTGGCCTGTTTCTTGGGACTAAATATTACCATTTTGGAGTGATAGCACAATGGGTTGAGCTGAAGAATGCTGGGTATATGATCACCACACTGATTGCTACTCACTCTGAATGGGGCTGAAGTTAGCCTCAGAGGATAGCTGGTTAGTGCATAACCTAGGCCTTTTCTTCAATTTGAAATAACTCAATACATATTGACCATTTGCGGGAGACTAGCCGAGGGATCGTTTACAGAAGAAAAGATGCCCTGCGATTCAGTGCATCTCCCAGGAAAAGGACACTGAGAAATCTCAATAGGAGCAAAACTGAGGCCACATCTACAGCCCAGCCCGACATTTCCATTCACACTTTCAGCATGTAACCATTATCTTAGAAACTGGTGATGGTGTCTATCAAGCTGAAAGACACCCAGGACTAGACTTGAAGGTCAGAGACGTGTCCAGACTTAAGTCTTTGCCTGAAGCCACTTTCACTGAGCCTAGCTTCTCCGTGTGGCCATGGACACCTGTGCCACACACACAGGGCTCCAAAGCTCCTTTTAGCCTTGGTTGACTGAATAAAGACAGTAGTTCCTAATGATTGGCACCTGTCCTTGTCTTCTAAGAAATCTTTGCAAATGTGACTAAGGATCTCCACATGAGCCAATTACTTGGGATTATTCAGGAGGTATTATTGCTCACCACAAATGTCATATAGGAGAAGTAGGTAATTATTAATAAATATATATATGCATGTATATGTGTATGCAGAAAGAGATGTGAAATGAAGCCAAACTTAATGGTGATATTTCCACAACCAAAAGAACCTTGGAATAGCTAAAGAATTGAAAACACAGATTTTTGCCCCTTGCCCGCTTCTGGGGGTCATGTGGCCCTACGATGCCTTGGTTTTAGCCCAGTGAAATTTGTGTTGTGATCTGGTTTCCATATCTCTATGGACTAAATTTCTGATGTGTCAAGAGCCCATCTTTATTGTAACTTAGTATAGCAACAGAGAAAACTATTAACTGGTTCTTTTTCTTCACTTGTTCTTCCTGCCCTGCTCACCTTAGCTGCTGATGGTTTGTGGCATCTGTCTAAGGCCAGAACAAAGCCTCATCTGCCTTCAACCTTTGGGAAGGTCAGGTATTCAGCCTCAAGATCTCTGTTCTTTTGGACAGCAGGTGTTCGTACGCTCATCACCAAGCAATGCAGCTCCCACCGTCCACCATGGCCAGATTTGCATGTTTGTTTCATTTGACAGTCTCCAATCAAATGCCTTACATCATGTTCAAAATTTGAAAAGCCGATGTCCTCATTTGGGCCTAGAGGCAAGAGCTGTTATACATTATAGGAAGCAATCTGCCTCATCCTATCATTTTAAGTACATGTCTCTGAGCCTTAGGTGGAGGGGTTGTGTTGTAGATGTAAGAATCGAGGCCAAGCACCCCACGGCCAGTGCTTTCTCTGCATTTCGCCCAGTTGTAGCTTTCTGTATTACTCCCCATCTGCTGCAAAAGAAAGTTTCTTTGATGAGCGACTCTTCTCTGTGGGGGAAAGCATAAGTGTTAAGAATCAGTAAATGCTGGTTTAGGAAAGTGGCTGTGGTAGGTTTTTCTTAGGGAACAACACAGAAGAGGAGGTGGGAAGAATGTCAGAGTCAAAGGACCAGAACATCTGCTACAAGTGTGTCTTCTACATATGACAAGAAAGAGGCACCGTGGACTCTCAGTGGTGTATCGCTTTAACAAAACCTGAATGCCAGCTGACGTCCCAATTCTGATTGGTGGGCAGCGTTAGGTGCTTAACCAAATCCTGAACATCAGTTGACATCCCATTTGTGATTGCTGAAATCTCACAAGGCCCTGCCCCTAGATGAAGAGATACAGGTAATTAATGATTCCTGGGAGAGGAAGAATCAGTCTTCCCCTGGGACCAGCCCCCTGACCGATGACCCAATACCAAGTAGTGAGTCCTAAAGCACGCACATGTAGCTACACTAGAGGGACACAAGTTGTGTTTATGTTTTTATTTACATACATACATGTATGCAATAATAATAATAATTTCTAAAAGATAAGATTATGAGACGGAATGGGTGGGTGGGAGTGGTACACAGGAGGTGTTGGAGGGAAGGGGAAGAATAGTTTAAATAAAGTACATGTATATGAAATTTAAAAATACATAAATATTTCTATCATCTGGAAGCACTCAGAATAATAAATGAGCATCTGGCTACCTCACGGTCCAGTCAAGTTGGCTTATGAAGTTAATCATCATGCCTATGTTTATGGAATAGGTACGCTAGAGAACCACACACAATCATGCCTTTATGGATAGCCGATAGATGCAGAAATACTAGAAGCTTTCAGGGTTGCTACCGGAACGCCACACCCAAAATTCTGCTGTGTGAACATCTTCAAGGGGTCCCGTGAATATTTTTTAACAAAAGTTGGGTCATTGCAACAACCTCTTTTCTCTGTAACTCCTACTGTGATCTGACCGTGTTACCTGTTAGCTCAACGTTTGGGGGGTTTTAGGAAAGCACCGAAGGAATGAAAGAATGAGAATATTAAGGGGAACAAAGAAGGAGATTTTAATCACCTCCTTTTTTAGTTCTACCTATTTCATTACTTCTGTAGATCCCAGATGTTTCTTGGAGATAGAACAGCAGGAATGGACCATGGTTTCCGGCTCCATCACATCCTTTCCTAGAGCAGTGATTCAGTTTCCTGCTCATAAAGGGGACCACCAGCCATTGTGGACGAGCTTGGAAACCTGAGTGGGAACTGAGGCCCTCCTTCGCTCCATGCTGTTTCTAGGAATTGTAAAAGTCATAAAAACAGAGCCAGGAATCTTACTGCCCCTGCCCTTCCACCCAGCTTTGTGGCGCCATCACTTCCTGCTTTGACTTCTCTCCATGTCCCAATCTCCAATCTTTTCTGCCCAGAAGAAGCAATGAAGATCCAGGGAAGATCTGGCATAATGCCAGGGTTACCTTTGCTCAGAACTGCTCACACTTCCCATTCAGTCAATCTCCAGTCCTCCCCAAGCCTACTAGGCCTTCTTGAGCTCCGTCCTGGCCTCTTCTCAGACCCTGATTCCTACCTGTGCCCTATCTTTTCCACTTGGCTATAGGGACATTCTCCATTCCCCTGATTTCCCTGACACTTCTGTTCCCTTGCCCTTCTCCCAAGTGTTTGACTTCTTCAATATCAATTCCATTCATGAGGATAACTGCTGCTGTAACAAGCAGAGGCTTAAAATTAATCATGTTTATCATACTATATTTGTGAAATCTGGAAGTTCAAAAATGTGTGTCATGGGGCTCAAAGATTGTAGTAGAATGACTTTTGGAGTGTGTGGGAGAGAAGCAATTTTGGAGTCTTTCTCAGTCTCTAAAATCTGTGGGGACTTCATATCTCCTGGCCTCTTCTCTCTGACTTCTGTTTGCATTGCCAGACCACTTCACCCTCTGGGGTTCTCTGTACCTTTGTAGTGAGACTTGATGGGCTGCCTGGGTGATATATTTTTCCATCTTGCCATCCTTACATTTCAGCTCACTTTTACAAAGCCTCCTTGGCCGTGAAAAGTCACAAACTAGATTATAAAATCCTCCAGTGTTGTCACTTGACCTTGCTGCAGAAGGCAGTGGAAAGGGAGTGGGTCTGCTTTTTTTTCTCCTTGTTCCATTTTCGTGGTCACCATCATCATCTGGTGGAACCAACACTTAGCTATACCTGGGGAGCTTCTTCCATTAGAATGCCACAGAAGCTGTATCTCTCTCTCTCTCTCTCTCTCTCTCTCTCTCTCTCTCTCTCTCTCTCGCTCGCTCGCTCGCACGCACACACACACACACACACACACACACACACACTTTCCTCCCAGACAATGGTCCATGATTATGTCATCAATATTTCCATCCAATATGCCTGTGTACCTTACTTAGCCTTACCCGCCTCACTTCTGGGCACAGGGTTAAAGGGAGTCATAGCATGTCACAATATACAACTGGCTTTTTCTAAGTGGGAAGGGCCATGCCATTGTTCCTGGCTAATAAATGACTGTAGGCCAAGCATTCTGTTGGTCAAATGAGATACCCAAACATTTTTCTCTACCTTTGCTTTGATTATCAAGATTACCGAGGTCAAAGGAGGTAGACTGGAAGTCAACATGCAGAATAAAGCCAGGCACAGTGCCCTACCATAATTTCCTGTACTCATGAGTGTAAGGCAGGAGGATTTCAAGTTTAAGACAAGCATGGGCTACTTGGTAAGAACCTGTCTCAAAAGCAAACCAACAAAAACATTCGGGAAAAACCAGTGAGCTTTGCCATATAATTTTTAGCCACTATATGTGGCATATAACCTAGCTTATCTTGACCAGTCTTCTGTGCAAGGGTTAATGGGAAGGGAAGATGCAGACTGAATAGCACTGACTTTCCAAGCTGCTCACCTCCATCCACCTGTACCTATTCACAGGCTGCCCATTCAGCAGCTACATTCATGGTCTTTCTTGTTCCTTTGATGGAAATGCCCATTAACTTCACCTTCTAGTTATTTGGTTTCTTTTCTAAGGTGATAGAACATTTAAGTTCTTTTCTTCCTAAAGAAGCAGAGATGCAGTTTGTTAAGAAGCAATTCTAATGTAGATTTGAACACCAGTGTTAGAGAAGGCAGAGTGGTGTTTAGGAAAAGATCAGCACACACCCAAGACGTGGGTGCGGGCTTCTCACAGTCTCCAGCGTCGACATAAAACTTTACTTTACAGACTTGGCATTGATCACAGGCAGCGGCTTCTGTCTCTTCCTCTTGATAGAAATGATAAAAGATCCACAGGTGTGGCAGCCAAGGCTGTGGGAAGAGGGTAAAGACTTCTGTGGGCATTTAACAAGATCGCTCCCTCAGAGTAAGCTCTGGGAATGAAGTATGCTTATTTCAAGGTAGATGCACAGTAGGGCATAATTTGGGGACTTCATAAAAATCAAGGTAGAAGAAAGACAGGCAGATATCTGGGGGCAGGAATGGAGTTGGCATGCTGAGCCGCCAGGACCTAGATATGGGGCATCATAAGCACCAGCTCTCCTCCGTTTGCCCTCCTCAGTGCCGTCCCTCCCTTGTCTCCTCTTGCCCTTCCTCTTTGGGAGGGCCTTTCGGCCTCAGCAAATGTTGGGGTGAGCAGAGTTCCCCACAGCTGGAGTCAGAGAGTGAATGCCTTCAGATTAAAACCAGACCTTACATGTGTATTTCATGAAAGCAAAAATTGCTGTCGGAGTGCCCATAATCCTAGTGAGAGCATCTAGTTCTACAGCGGGGATGTCCATAAAGGTTCCACTGGCCAGCCTGAGAACCCATCACCCAGTGAAGAGTACTGTTTCCATGGAAACGTGTAACCGGTGACCCAAATATGCAAGTTAAAGTTTGCTATTTTATACCTACCTCATTGTTTGGGTCTACTGAGGGTTGCCACTATTACATAAAAGCCCAGGCTCTCTTTCCATAGGCAGGTTTTCCCTGTGCACATCATCAATCCATCAGCATAGACCATGGGGGTCTGTCTGTACCTCCGTTCTACATCAGCCGCACTTAGTTATAAACTTTTAATTTTTTGGTCGTGGCAAGCTAACGCCAAGATGCAAGCCATTCTCACTTGCCTCTCCCTCCATTTCTTAAACCCCCGCAGGGCGAGCCCTGCTGAGACTCACAGACAAGAAGCTGGAACGCATGGGGATCCTCCAGGAGAACCAGCGCCAGCACGTCCTGCAGCAGGTGCTCCAGCTGAAGGTGCGGGAAGAAGTCAGAAACCTGCAGCTACTCACACAAGGTAACCTGCTGCTTTCTGGTGGGCGGGTGCACGGGGACATGGGAAGACAGAACATGTGATCACAGTGACAGAGGGGAGCCAGGAAAATTGGTTATCGTTTCCGTACAGAATTTCCTTCATTAAAAGAAAAAGAAGTAGGTTAGCTTTAAAGACTACTTCGCTCTAAAACTTTCCAGTTTCACCGCCCACCAGAGAGAAAGATGCATAAATAGGTAATAGGCGCACAAATGGAACGATTGGCGCCAACGGTAAGGTTACCACGTACAGCTGCATAGACTGCTCTCTGTACAGCTCCAGAGAGTACCAACCACATCGATCAGGGGCCCGTTGCTCCCTCCAGAGTTGTGTGATGTTCAGGCTGCGCGGCTCAGAAGCACAGTCCTGGCTGCCCTCATCTGAACAAAAATTCTGAGGAGGTCTTAGCATTTGAATGATTCTAAGGTGAATATGGCCAGTGATAGCGCTGAGGTTTTGACGTATTTTGTTTTACTTTGCTTTTCATTGGCCAGGAGAGGGGAAATGTTTTCAGTGTGCCTTCATGTAACTGAATTAATGCATGCATATACTTCAGAGATTTTGAAGACTCTGTTAACCTCTTGCAAAGAAATGATTTAAAATGTAAACTAGAGAATTTAAATTTGGACTATTAAGGCTGTGTGACTAAATAATGTCGTGAAAACTGTCAATATATTGAGATCATGTAAGATCCCTACAACTTTGAAGTGTCAAGAAAATCTAAAATTTGAAGAAATCTCCAGTATACGTAACCTATACGTTTACATACTATCTGATAGCTATAAGCTTCCATCGACTGTACTTTTTCTTCTTTTGTTGCCCATCATGCATCATTTTAAATGAAAGGATGATAAAGTAAGTGTTTTTGAAAGCATTGAGTAGTTTTCAGTAGTGAGACTATAGTAATCGTATGCATGGTGGAGACATCTGGGTCAGCTAAGTTTCATGTTACTGCATTTAGATGAACCCAGTAACAGTCCATTTGCCTAGAGCAGCGGTTCTCAACCTGTGAACTCTTTGGGGGGTTGTGTAGCAGATACCCTGCATGTCAGGTATTTGCATTGTGACCCATAACGATAGCAGACTTGCAGTTACGAAGTAGCAGTGAAATGATTTTATGGTTGGCGGTCACCACAGCATGAGGAACTGCATGAAAGGGTCAAAGCATTGAGAAGATTGAGAACCGCGGGCCTAGAGGAAATGATGCGGAGCTTGGAGGATGTGTGCTGCAGAAGGATATACATAGATGGAAAGGGATGCAAACATGGTGTCAGCTCTTGAATATGCTTGCTCGAAGTTCATCCCTAGAGACTCCTGGTAGTGAGTCACAGCAATGGGACTGCTGACTAATCCGAATGTGACATATTAATACACCTTTAAGTTTCTTCTAAGAAGTAGATATAGATAATAAGATTTATGACAAACACTATTATGGTGCTCTTTCTTTCTTTTATTGATTTTTATTGAGTTCTCCATTTTTCTCTGCTCCCCTCTGTGCCTCTCCCCTCCCCTTCGACCCTCTCCCAAGGTTCCCATGCTTCCAGTTTACTCAGGAGATCTTGTCTTTTTCTACTTCCCATGTAGATTAGATCTATGTATGTCTCTCTTAGGGTTCTCATTGTTGTCTAGGTTCTCTGGGATTGTGATTTGTGGGCTGGTTTTCTTTGCTTTATGTTTTCAAACCACTTATGAGTGAGTACATGTGATAATTGTCTTTCTGGGTCTGGGTGCTCTTTCTAAAATGGAAAAACTCTACATAATACAGGCATTAAAAATACCTTTTAAAGAATACATAATATAAGAAAAAGATTTGAAAAATGAGGGGAAAGCATATGGAAAAGTTGATATATAGCTTGGCTCAATTTTTAAAAACACAGATTTTATATATTTTACATATGAATATCATGTAAGTAAAAGGGTGCATGATTATGCCATATTTTTATGATGATTGTCTCTGGAAAATATACTTGCGGATGATTTTACCCCTGTTCATTATTCTTGCCCGTGTTTTCCAAAGCCACTGTAAAGTCATAATGTTGTTTAATCAGAGCATATTAATTTGTAGCTCCTAGAGCATCCTTCTTTCCAGGTTCTATTTGGTGTCTGGACCTCCTAGGAGCATTGTTTTCCTCCTACGTTGATGACACGGGAGTAACTTACCTCATGGTGTCAGGTATTTTGACACAGAAATAAGAATAGTAACTACAACAGTTACTAAGTAGTCACGCCTTTGACACCATCCTCTACTCCTTCCCATTTACTTAGGCTGTATGTCACAAAACCATCTCCAGCATTCATTGCCCAGAAGTCTTCCTAGATGGTATGTAAGCCTACTAAGCTGAATGCCTGTCTGGGTTCTGGAAAGGTCCTAGCTTCAACCTTTCTCATTCTGGTGTTGGCATTTTCCCCTGTTGAAAAGCTACACGTCTGTATTCTTTCATCCCATTTCTTTCAGAAGAAACTTGCGCTCTCTAGCCCATGGGTATTTTTCTCTGATTTTTTTATTGCCTTTCTTATTGCTTGTCCTTCACATGATAGTGTTCACAATCACTTTACGTCAGGCGTCCTTTTAAAAAATTCACAGTGCTGTTGAAGTGATAATTTCTTTCTTTTTTTTTTTTTTAAGAAAAGGAAACAAAATTGACAAGCGGTGTTGAAGATTGATAACCACAGATGTAAAGAGACCAGGGGAAGCTTTAAATTATTTGGGGGTCTAGCTTTGCTCTAATAAGAATCAATGTTCCTTCTACTCAAGGGAGCTGGCTGGTTTAATATGCATATCATATGGCATTTCACTACAGGGGTGATACAATATTAAATATTTGATTCTGCAAACCCACAAATACTAAGCTACAGCAACAATATATGGAATGATTACAATATTTCACAATAGTTTTTTTTTTCAGTTTTTTTTTTTTTAAGTCTCTGGGCCTGTGTCTTGAGGAGAGTGACTTGTATTTCCAGTTTCTAGAAAAGAGACACAGTGCAAGGACCCAGAAAGTCGTTACTCTGAGGCAAAGCAGGTTTTTGTTGGTGTTGCTTGCATAAGCCAGTCAAGCTGCTACAGGACATAGCACAAACTACTTAGGTTATTGTGTTGTCGTTACTATTCTTATTTCTGTGTCAAAATACCTGACGAAAGCAACTTCAGGAGGGATGGGTTTATTTTGGCTCAGTTTGAAGGAATCCTTGGTGTGCCTGGTAGGATATACAGAGTAGGGAGAGCATATGGCCGCTGGTCACATTGTTTCTACATTCAGAAAGCAGAGAAAGATGGATCCGGTGCTAAGACCCCTTTCTCCTTCTTATTCACTCCCAAACCCCAGCCCACACAGCTCTCCCCCTGTGTTTCATATGTCAGAACAAGATAAAATCTCTCTGAGGTCCCCACCAAAGGTACTTATCCCATTCATGAAAATCCTACCCTTATAACTCAATCTTCTATCAGAGATCCCATCTCTTTAAATCATACCTTAAGGATCACAGATTCAATAAATGAATGCATTTGAAGGACAAAATATCTACTCTCTTACATTGGTATTTAACTTTGTGTTATTTTTAACCAAAACCAACCATTTTAAAAGGTGGTTATCATCTTTGATATAATTCGTGTGTGTGTGTGTGTGTGTGTGCGTGTGTGTGTGTGTGTGTGTGATGCACATATGGAGACAAGAGGTTGATGTAGGATGTTTTCTATCACTCTCCAGCTACCTTAGTTTGTACCACTGAACATTGAACTCACCCACTTTTCTAGATTGACTGGTCAGTTATGCTATGAAGACCTATCTGTCTTCACATACCCCCCCCCACACACACACACCACACACCTAGATTTTGTATGGATACTAAGAGTGTGGTTTTGAGTCCTTGCACAACAAGAACTTATCCCCTGAGCCATCTTTGCTCCCAAAGAACTCCCTTTTGTGAGGTAAGGATTTTATCTTGCAAACGACTGGATGTGTGTGTGTGTGTGTGTGTGTGTGTGTGTGTGTGTGTGCATGTGTGTGTATTTCCGTTTTTGGAGTCCCTTTACAAATATATAGATTTTTGGAAGAGCATAGGTGGCTTCCTTTAGAGAAACGGCTAAGTAAATCCTGGCACACATAGTTACTAGAGGTCTCTGAACCTGTAAATGAGGAATGAAGAAGGACATTTGGGAAACTGTAAATAATATAAAAGCACTACGCAGAACCATATGAATACTGTACATTTGCCAGAAAGAGAGAAATAGTCTCTCTCTGTACATTCTTTGTTTATATAAAAATACTGAATAATGTAGATGAAACTAATGTAAGTTACACCCAGGAAGCAGAGAAGGTGGCCCTGGAGAGAGGGTGCATGCTTCAGATGTCATTTTGAATTTGAAATATGAGTGTTTGAACTATTTTAAAGAACACATTTTATAAAATAAACAAGAAGGGAGAAAGGATAAATTTAACATTTGATATACCTGGATTTTATATCCTGACCTGAACATCCAACGCTGTCCCTTCAGGAAATTAGTTAAGCTCTCTGTGCTCCCATTTCCTAACTTCTGAAATAGAGAGGAGTAACTCTGACCGACCAATAAGAATACGGCAGGAATTAGCGAAGCTAAATATGCTTAGCCATTGGCCTTGTCACATAATTAAACCGAGTGTGCATTTACAACATGCCTCAGCATTTTCATGCCTTTTCTGAAATGCTTTATCTGACACACAGCTTAATAATATTCACTTAAGTATACACTAAGATTTTGCCCCACCTTTCTTAATCTACTCCTTCTAGGTGCTGATAAAAAGACAAAATAAATCAGAAGACTTTTTCCAAATTACAAAATGGGTGCTTAGTAAATGTCAGTTTTTACTCGCTGTTCAGAAACCATGACAAGCAATCTTAAAACACTCATCCTCTGAAACCAGGGCCATCTTGTCTTCAGTTCATGCCACCCCTCCTGCCATTGACAGTGGCCCCATAGCTCTCTGGCATTTATAGACAACATCATCAATGCTTGCC